TTGAACTCTTTCATTCAAAAAGTGTAGCTTTCGGGGTTCAAAAGTTTACTTTATTCTCAAATAATTCGGAATCTTACCCATAGTTATACTTATGCTTAGGGTTACAAAACCAAGGAGTGCATACTTTCCGCGAAAGAAAAATCACGCATTTCTCTAGGCCGTAAAATATCACAATGGATATAGACCACATCGCGTATTTGCCAAACAGCGCTAATAAACGAACAAGCAAGATATTGTATGGGTAAACCTTTCGAGGTTTTAGAAAATCATAGCCGGAAGCCCCTTCTAAACCAAAAATACCCTATCTTAGACTGAAGAATTGGGAGAAGACTTATTTTTATTCCAAACAAATGCAAGCCAGAATGTGTTGTAATTGTTTTCTAAAAAATATATTTGAATTCAAAAGTGCATCGAAAATCAATGTAAAAAATGCATGGCAGTCAAGTTGTCATTGCCAATAGAAGCGAAGAGACAATTTCCAGGAAGCAGTCTTGAAGAAGAAGACACGATCGCCGGGACAAGAGCTTTATTAGCCTGATGTTTCGGATTCTTGCTCGAATCCGAATCAGTCACAAACGCAGTTGTGTAAGGGCGCTCTATCGGCGTGTCGAAACGCCATGCAGTGAGCCGGAAGACAAGATTGCCGAACTACAATAACTCCGACGGGTCTTCATAGCCAATGGCTACGCGCGCAACTTTGTCAACCGGTGCATACGCAAAAGGGACGAAAGGCCTAACCGCACGGACACCAAAGTTTGGCAAGCGTTTCCATATGTCAAGAACGTTTCGGAAGCGGTCGGCCGCCTTCTCGCGCCACTTAGGGTTGGAGTTGCACACAGACAGGAGGCAACCATCAGGCGTCAGTTGATGAAACCAAAAAACCAACTGCCACGGCACGAAACGTCTGGAGTCGTTTATCGGATCTGGTGCAGTTGTGGACAAAGCAACTACGTCGGAGAAACCGGAAAACAACTCCAAACGCGAATGACCGAACATGCTGCGGCGGTGCGGAGAATTGACGCTAGCTCTCAAGTTGCGGCTCATTCGACGGGCTCTGGCCACACATTCAAATTTGACGAGGCCAAAATTATCGCAAGAGGCGACAACCGCGTGAGCCGGGAGCTGCTTGAGTCATGGTTTACTGGCCCCCAGTCTATTAACAAGTGCAACGATCTTCCCATTCAATACAGCGTGCTGAGACTTCGTCTAGGCGGAGTAATTGGCCACGCGGGGAGCGCACTGGTGAACACTCTTCCCAACACCCGGGTCAGCGCGTCAGATGGTCGAGCAATCATCACACTAACATCCAACGCAGCATCCATTGCAGCAATTAACGACGCGAATGTCGGCCATCATGCCACGTGCAACGATCCTTGATGAAGGGGAGGGAGCCGTGAATATTCATAGTTATGTGGTAGCATGGCTGATGCATCCTATAAATACTGCAGCCGCATGTGCATGAATCACCCCTTATCTGCTTATGTCTCTGATGATGGATTCGAGCAGGAATCCGAAACTTCAGGCTAATAAAGCTCTTGTCCCGGCAATCGTGTCTTCTTCTTCAAGTTGACATTGTTAACTAAACGTAGTTTTCCCAGGCGGCCGGAAAGAAACTCACTGAAGACCCAGCGTTCTGGAGTGACTGAAATTTATTTGGATTATGCTGTAAAATGTCTCATAGTATAACCCAGCCTACGCAGTCTCCTCTAACCCGCAGAATTTCGGTTAAAATTCTGTGATATAGGCCAGGTACTGTAGGTACGGCCCTCCGCGATAGTAATTCTCCTATTACTAAATTTGCTTTAATGTGCGCCTATAGTGGGCATTTCAAGTGAAGCCAAGTCGCGCTGAAAAGGCCTGCGCAAGGCGTTAATGTTGAATTAAACTTGAGCTGGGCCACACAGGGCTGCCTGCAGGAGCAAAGTTTGTCAGTCTTTCCCTCGTAAGCCGAATACTAATCAGGGGAGGAATATGCTAGTGTCCATTTCTGATTCACCTTCTTCTCTCATCAGATTCAGTTAGTCATATCACGATAGCCGCCTATGAATCTCTATGTTGACGAGATACCCGTTGATGTCAGGCTACACCGTGATCGGTGTTTTTCTGCATTACCTGTTAATGCGAGAGTTGGAGGAGGTGTAGATAGGAGCACTTGCAGCACTGTAAAGGTCATAGCAAAAGGGAAGACTATGTGATACTAACAGGGTATTTTCTGCTTCCGCCATCATTTGGCAGAAGCCTACGAGGTAGGAAAGGAGAGGAGAGAAGGGCGTTGTGAAGAACAAAGATTCGATCGCAAACATGGTTCTTGTCAGGGTTGTTTTCGGTTGTTTCAGGGAATGAAAAACCCAGGCGGAGAAGCAGAGGAGAAATGACTGGAGCCCTCAAAGAGCAACGATACGAAGAGTGAACGGGCGCATGACTGCCATTTGACAAGTTCCAATGTCGGCGTACGACAGGGTGACTCGAATCTTATTTTGTCTGTTAATAATAACCGAGATTTTTCTGCTAGTGCACAGAATTTTCATCAATAGTTTTAAAGTACTTTCGAATGGTGGATACTCCCTATTCTCCGCTGAAAATCGTCGGTACAGGGTAGACTACCAGACGGTCTCATCCACGTCAGAATGTTAATCACTCCCGGAAATTAGTGAACAAACACGAACTATTTCTCGGGCGACGGCCATTATACCAAATAAAACACTTTGATCTCTGTTCTTATGAGTCCCGAATTACATCGGGCTATCCCGAACGTTTTCCTAGTAATTTTTCCCTTGCCGAAGTCACACAGAAGGTAAACAGTTAGCTGAAACAGTCATCGATCCGGTATTTAGTACATATACACACACTCAGACCTAGGCCTGCATAACCTCAGGTTAGGATACGGGATCTTTGGTCACCGACAGTTATGAATTTGAATGCGCGTGACCTAAGAGCCAAGGACTTTTTGACCTGTCAGTTTCTAAGAAGGGAATAGTGAACTTGGTAATGCTTGGTAACTGCAACCTAGAATTAGAGTCCGAGGTCATCCACACCACTGATTTTCTATAGCTGGCCGTTGACGGTAAACAGGCCAGAAATGATCATCCCCTTATCCATGTCAACACTCCCTTTTGTCGATACTAGACTTAAAATTTCAGAAATTATTGGTTTGATTTCCCTTTAAGGTCCACGTACCGTAATCCGGATGGAGGACGCTGAGGGAACAACTGAGCAGCCGAACTCATTGCAGTTGCGTCAGACAACAAACACCTGGGCAAACACATACCCAAACATTTAGGTAGTACCATTGTATATACATGTATACTAGCACTACCGAGAAAGACAAGGAAGACTGGAATTGACACTTCTGGCTTATTAGCCGTCGTCAGCCAGTCATACGCAACCCCAAAGTGTGCAAGACCTGAGGCTCGAATTCGCGGCCTGTTAGTTAGAAGTCCAACGCCTCTAACCACTCAGTGGCCCAGTGATTAGAAGCCTTGTCCTGTCGGTTTCGATTGGGAATATGCAAGGGTAGGGGACGTTCACCGATTGTTCCTACGGAAGTCACTCGTCCGGTTTTGCCTTATGGGCTCTCTCGAGCCCAACCAGCAGCCGCACAGCGGCGCACAATATAGGCTTTTGTTTCCCACACTTCGGGATTGGGTATGACCTGCTGACGACGGCTTATAAGTCAGAAATGGTTATTCCAGTCTTCCTTGTTTTTGCCGGTAATGTTATTCTGCCTATATCATGCACCTGTGTGCGGCTGCTGGGTGGGCTTGAGAGAAAGATCCCATAAGGCAAAACCGGACGAGTGAGTTCCGTAGAAACGATCGGTGAGCGCCCCCTACCATTATATACATATATATATATATATATATAATGGTACCACTGTGTATGTACCCGACAGCAAACAACAAAGCAACGAGCCCAAGGCTCAGTGGTTTGGGAATTGGGCCTTTAACCAACAAATCGAGTCTTCGAGACCCGGTGATTGCATGCTTGTGCGTTGAGCATGGCTGATTGATGACAACTAGCAAGACAGGATTTCGGCCCGACGAGGTGCTTATGGCGCATATGCTAGACACCGTCTGTTTATTTTCTGCGCCCTGTGCAACCGCTTGTTTTGTTTCTAACCCCAGTTGGTGGTCTGGGTTATGATTAGCTAAATAAAGACAGAATAGACTCAAAACAGTCCCGAGTCTATCGCCTCCCGTCTCATAATATGTATATGACATGTATATGCATATAAATGGAAAGAGGGTGGTAAAGATAGCGCTTTTCTTCCACTGCGAAATAGGTGCTGTATTCGCAGGCCTTCGTGAACGCAATCGAGCCTTTTTGCCGCGTTCGGTATGTTCTTGGCCGAAGATTAAATACATCCGACATTCTGTCTGACCGATTACTATTTTGTAAAGCATGGTTGGTCATCTGTTTTAGCATTTCCATGGCTTCGTTTAGGTAGCAGTGCCTTTTCGCTCACTTGCCTATTCCTTTACGTTTACAGATGCTTTTCTCAGTCAAACAAAACTACCCCTGCGGTTCTTCACTACCTCTCTATAGGAGCTGTGCCGTGGTCCACACGGTCCATTTACTGCATGTTCCGGACGCTAACGGCCGAAGGAGATAAGATGCATTACGCCCAATCTGAAAGGCTCGCAGAGAGGATATATGCATTAATGGCTCCACAGATCGCCCAACAGGAAAGGCGTGTACCGAAGCGTCTTAAAGGCAAACCAAATGCTCTTCTTGAGGGGGCTGCCTAAACGGCTGCTACGGGCACTTGGACGAGTACAGAGAAATCGGCGTTTGGACACGGGTGGATGAACACCCCAAATGCCACATGTGGCCTTACTCCAGATCCCACGGGATACACATTGGGTGTTAGAGTCGGAGATAACGTTAGTAAACGGGAATAGGCGCTCCTTGGAATTTAGAGGGAGATCATTTGCGCTGCAGGGAGTGGTCCGTATTCTCCTGTGCGACCAGGCGGACTTCCGTGTATTTTTAAGATTTTAATGGTCATCGATGATGATGATGATGATGCTGCTCCTGCTCCTGCTGCTGCTGCTGCTGCTGATGATGATGATGATGATGATGATGATGATGATGATGACTCGATATTTGAAAAAAGACCGTCTAGATCACAGCTGGAAGCCAGGAATGGGGAAGCGGACGGCGACCTTAACCCCAATCCTATCCTTAACCCATACCGTAACCTCAACCTTAAACGTTAACCGTTAGTCATTTGCTTTTATGCTATGAGAAGACTGCGGCTACTAAAAACATTCCCTTTTCAGATCCTCCATCCTTCTTCAGTTTGATCATGCTTTTTGACGCGTTCCTTTGTCTCGCTATTTCTCTAGAAATCTTCTCTTGGTTAAAAAAACCAAATCATCATAAAGATAGCTAAGTGATCTCAAACTTGGACGTTCCCCCCCTCCTAATTGACATCACTGCGAAACACGCCTAAGTTACAGATTAAATATCGTCATAGGGGACACACCAGTAATCTTATTGAGGGTTCTTTGTTCCCAGGCCCAGTCACGTGAAGGTGGAACAGGGAAGGCTAATCTGATTACAGGACACAACCGACATTATCGTTTGACCTTGGATGTCGAGATCTAGAGCGAATTCTGACTCTTGTATGGCGACAAGCGACCTATCATCAAAAAGAGTTACCGACAGGGCTGAAGGGGTCTGAAATAGTCACTATTAGCGTGCCTCATCCTAGTCCGGTCCATGCGTAAAGTACGTTGGTGATACTGTTATTAGTGGTCACATTAAAATGTACGGAGACGTTAACGGTCTTCTTGGAGTTCTTGATCAGGCTTTCGCGTGAACGTTTAAAGATGATCAACTGCTTAATAAGCAGAAATCCGTCTAAAAAGCTGATAAATAGCCTATCGCATCTTGGTTTAGCCTGCTTGAATTCTCGCCAAAAACGTCGACTGCCCGAAATAAGACCACAATCTATCTCGCCCTCCCAGCAAATAAGGAACTTAAGTTTCGCACCGTGCAAATAATCACAAAAGAAATTTTAAGAGGTATTTTCATCAGACGCCTTCTACGGAAGAGTACTGTTTCGACAGCCGTTTCAAGGAAAGGTTTTCTTCCGTGCAAACACAAAAGCATTTCCTATTTGCAATGCCTAGACATCGATAGGATTTATCGTTGGAGTGTCATGAGGATGTCTGAAATCAAATTCCAAACCAGACGAAAAGGTAAAAGCTCCTTCAAGCTCGAAGCACAATTAATAGTTTATGATTTTCACTTATCACTTATAGAAGGCCAGTCGACCATTGATACCTTTTGTCTATCAGGAAACTATTACACCACTAACCACCCTCTCGCCTCCTCCTCCTCCTCCTTCTCCTCCTCCTCCTCCTCCTCCTCCTCCTCCTCATCATCATCATCATCATCATGAGCAAAACAGCATTACCGACAATACAAGGGAGACTGGAGTGGCCTTTTTGGCTTATTTAAGGTCGTCAGCCAGTCATACCCAAGCCCTCAATGTGGAATATCTGGAGTGCTAGATTTCTGACCAACAAGTCACGGGATCGGGCCCCAGGTGTCCCACACTTTAGGATTGGGTGTGGCTGGCTGCCGACGGCCAATGAGCCAAAATAGCCACTCCAGTCTCTTTTGTATTGTCGGCAATGCTGTTTTGCCTATATTACAGACCGCTGTGCGGCTGCTGACGGGGTTCGTCACAGGCCTCAGGGCACAACGGCACCGCCCTGCTACTACTACTACCACCACCACCACCACCAACACCAGCACCATCTTAATCATTTCATCCGGTTTTCGTTTTTCCCTGAAAAGTGTAGCCTTTTGGTTGTCGGGTTGACCTCCGTTTTTCTTCTTAGCCTTCAGGCCTTCATGTTATGTATAACAGATTACTGCACCCTTTCTCCCGCGGATGGTGCGCAACAATAAGGGTCCCGTCCAGCTACATAGAAGACAGTGATGAATCATAATCCAAGTTCGCACACTGATTATAACGGACATTCTGTCTATCTCGTGCAAGAATCAGAACAGCTTAAAACCTGCCTGGGAATATTTGTTCGGGTTTCGACCTGTTTTTGATTTTCTTACCGGTGCAACTCTCCTGCATCGTATTAGGCCGTTTCCTCTGGAAATACCACATGGGACTTGTAAAATTCTGTACTATATGTGGGCCATGTCCACTCTATAAACAACAGTTATAGATTGGGCGTTTCACGGTCTTAAATGGGCTCATGATTAGAAAATATAACTTAAGGAAGATGTCATTTGCTATCACATACACACACGAAGGCATATTTTGGGCATGTTCCCTATAAAATACATTTGGATTTATATGGGTGACTAAAATCAATGGAAAATATCTAGGCTACTTGTGCAGCCATTTATTGCAGTGTAGTTCATGCAGCCGACCGGATTGAAGTGCACTCTCAAAAGCCGACATTCTATTGGGACTGAAATATTTGGGAATTATGCCCTACGATAATGAATATTGTAACCATACTTAAGTTACCCTTTCAAAATAAAAACATTCCAGAATTTCATTTCGCATTTCATAAGGTAGTGCAACTACTGTAGTGTTTTGTCGCAACAGTAACATTTGAGATGGGGGCAGACGATCGCAAACAGATCTCTTGCTTTTAAACAATTTAACAATCATGGACATGTCAAAGGAGGACGCGTGCAAACCTTCTTAATTTATTTGATCAAAAAATTTCAGTTAAGGACTGGCAAAATTTGGGAGCTTGTGCAACCAGAATGGCTCTAAACAACATTCCAAATACTCACATTTCAACCGACTGCACAAGAAGCACTATTCTTATACCCAAATACCCTTCAGTTTACAAGTATGTTTGAATGGTACGCGCTTCTTGCAGTGTTCCTGTGCGTCTCTTTAAGAAAGGCCTTCCAAGAGAAGCAGTATGGGCTATTCCCCATACTTCCTGAATTGGAAGATGACAGATTCCATCCACACCAGTGTCATACTACACGGAGACCCCACATTTGCGTCCGCTAGCCATCTTACCGATCATCATCGCATGGAATGTTTGCTACAGCTCCCGCGAAGTTTAAGTCTACACCCCACACTCTACCCTGCCAGCTGCGGTAAAACGAAGTCTCCAGGAGTAGTACATTTAAATATGTCCCACTTGTTCCACAACGTCTACGATTACACCAGCGCGCATAGATGGTTTCCAGCCCAGCAACATGACTTCATACTAAGCCCTTGATCTTTGACATATTCATATATTAGCACACAAATGAGCAAACTCTTTAGGTCCCATAGCATTTCAAAAAGCATTCTCAGTCCCCCTCGATTGATTCGTGGGATAAAGCGACTAAATACTTCCTATTGGATTTACAGAAATGGAAGGGTGCATTTATCCATTCAGAAAATGCGAATAGGTCCGAAATCCTGTTTCCGGCAGGGCTTTGAAATTTAAAAAAATTAAGCAGTCGCAGGCGTCAGTGTTTACTCAGATCTATAAAATGTCGCCAGTACTGTGCGCAATAGCAACTGCAGTGTTCGCAGTCAGCAGGCACTTTTTTAACGATAGCTTCAACTCCTTCATTACAAGAGGCTGGTTTAATTATAAATAAAGTTGGAAAAAACGAAAAGAAACATGGCATTGCCTATATACTAAAGCAGAGTTACTCAAATTACAGTGAATAAGCATTGGGCGTTAATATCCGCGCAAGCTCACCAAGAGGACACATAAGCATGCTAGGATGTGCTAACTCATGAAATGTCAACCAACATTTCGAAATGCGTTCTCGTTTCGAAAAGATAAATTAAGTAGCATTGTAAAAGTAACCATAATGTAGCATAAATCTATAATGATCCAGTTACCTCAGGGTGTCGGCTTTCGAAAGAACTTATTTTCGGCTGCATGCAAGATCTATACTCTGCATAAAATGACTGCTTAAGTAGTATGTAATTTTCTCATTGTTTTTCGATGCCCTTGAAAATTCAATTATATTTCATGGAAAACATGCATAAACGTATTCATTCTTTTACTTATTCGGTAGAAAATTACGTCGTCCTACAATTTTATACTCAAAAGAAGAGTATAATTAGGTTTTAAAAAGTTTCTAATTGTGAGATTTTTTAATACCGGTAAGTGGCCGTTTATGAAACGTCATGTATCTGCATTTACGAATGTGGCTTGTAAAGTTAACAATATTGCTCAAATCCACTGCTTAATTTTATGAACCTCATATGGTCTCCTCTTAACACCCTAGAGAAATGCATGCAATATTGTTATCTTTACAAGCGACATTCGTAAACGCAGATACATGACGTTTCATGAACGGCAATTTAACGGTATTAAAAAATCTCACAATTAGAAACTTTTTTAAAACCTAATTGTACTCTTCTTTTGAGTATGAAATTGGAAGACGACGTGATTTTCTACCGAATAAGTAGTCATTTTTGCAGAATATAGATCTTGCATGCAGCCGAAAATAAGTTCTTTCGAAAGCCGACACCCTGAGGTAACTGGATCATTAAAGATTTATGCTGCATCATGATTACTTTTACAACACTACGTAATTTATCTTTTAGAACCGAGAACGCATTTCGAAATTTTGGTTGACATTTCATGAGTTAGCACATCTACTAGTACTTTTATTTCTATTCCATTAGAAGGAAGAGTTTTTGTCCATCAAATGCGATTTCAAATACGCACTGATCGGCTAGTTGACTCTGGCGAGACCACCTAAACCTCCGATTGACAATGATAAATAACTTTGAACCAGTAAAGTAGCTAAAACAGGAGAGAAAAATTTTTGCCAGTTTTAAGCGTTTATAAATAGTGGAATTACATCGTAAAAAGCCGCAGGTTATATCGAATGTTCCAGACCACCATATTGCTGTTTGCCGAGACCTATGTAAATTTAAGCGGGGCATGTGACAGACAGGGGTTTTGATATCAGCACCCCGATCAAATCTCAACATGCACTTGACTTGGATCAATTTATTTTCAGGCAACCGAGCACCTATGAATGCCCTGATTGTCCCAACTACTTAGTTCAGACAACTATTTGAGGTATTGTGAGCTCCATGAGGGGCACATATGATGACAGTTGACGCCACCTCTTATGTATGCTTGCCAACATCAGACGCAGCTGCTAATTTGCTGCACAGTGCTAGGCAAGACTTCAACGGTTGCAAGCTAAGGGCACTGCCGGAGAATCGACGTTATTACAGTACCCAGGCGACGGCTGTAGCTCATTGGTCAAAATGAATCTGGCTTAGAAACTGGGACGGTGGACGTACGGGTAGGGTGATTTGTCACTCTCGGTTTACGACTTCTTCGACAGGAGGAAAGAAAAAACCTTAGAAACTGCAGTAAATGCGTGGAAAACGACCGTGAACTAAAAGTTAACCGAAGCCGGGTGGTGATGGAGAGCGGCTAAGGGCATGTTCACGCGCTGAACCCGAAGAGGCAAACCGTGACCAAATATTGCATAAACACACCGGGTCACCCCATCAGCACCAATTTATTTTCACTAACGTTAGAAGTTTCAATCTGGGGAAATGTATGTCTACAAGGGCACACAATTAAACTTTTAATTAGTGGGTGTTACAAAAAGGACAATATCATTCTAGGTAACCCATACGTGGGTTAATCATCTCTTAACAAGCATTGAAAGATTTGGAATTTAAAAAAGGACGAGAAGATTGTAAGTTTGCAAAGCTTCTCAGAAAGCTGAATGGGAACTTAGAGTAGGATTTTTGACAAAAAACATCTCCAGATCCTGCTTCACAGTTTCTAGGCTTGCTTACACCGGAATGCATCAGCTTCAACAGAATGAACACGCAATATCCACGCTCTACCAAAGAGGATTCAGTTGTGTATAAATACTAGTTGATTTACCTTCCGGCTCAATCGCTAACTAAAATCCCAAAGACAAATTTGTGACGCTGCATGAGGCATCAACGAAGGGTTAGACACCTTAGTGGGTGCCCCTTTGCTTCAGTTGCGCTTTTCGGTATATAATGCTTAGAGGTTCATGCGTGAAGTTGTGGAAACTTTTCCCCGGATCTGCCGGATAACGAGTGTTCAGTGAAACGTTCCACGGCTAACGCATGAGCACGAATATGTGGATTGACTGGAAGTATCGATTACCCATTGGGTTGCCGGGAGAAACATACCCCTGTCATTTTGTCTAAGAACTCCTACGTAGAATCCCTGGAGACATTTTTATGGCAACAAACGGTGGTGCAGATGGATGAGAACGGGCAACTTTGATTTATAAAACGTCTACTGGCAGTTACATCTCAAGCCTAGGTTTAAGTAAATCGGCGCCCACGAGGCAGTTCGGTTGGAGGGACTTTCTACAGAGGATGCACGCAGGAGCATCTCAGACAACGACTTCAGAGAACAACTAGTATATTTTTGTCTGCATTATCAA